GGGCGGGGGGGGGGGGGGGGTGTTTGCGTGGGGCCGCTGCCGTAGGCGCTCTGTGCTCTCCCTGCCCCCGCCGCAGCCGGGTGTCGTGGGGGGCCTGGCGCGGGCCCTTCGCGGGCTGCTCTGCCCTCCCTTCCCCTCCGGCTGCCGGTGGTGCCGGGTGAAGCCTCCTCGGCCCGCGCAGCGATGGATGCGCGCTGCGGAGCGCTGGCGGGGCAGCGTTGGTGCCTCTGGGGCAGCCCGCCCTCTCTCCCTCGGCAAGGCGGGCTCCACCGGCTGCAGCGGCGCCTGCGAGAGAGCCGTGGGCCGAGCTGGGAAGCGCCAGGCGTCCTCCTTTCCACACAGCGCGCCTCGCCAGTTCAGGCTGCGGCACACGCGTGGTGGCATCGGAGCAAGGGTGAGGATCAGCACAGCCCTTGTGTGAGGATGGCAAACATTCCCTGAGTTTTGTCTGGGGAATTCGGTGAAAGCCGCTCCTCCATCCCAAAGAGTTGTTGCTGTGTCATTTCAGACACGGAATAAAACTCCTCAACTCCGAGTATGAACTATAATACTTAGTTCTCATTTTGCAACAGTGATAACTGTTTCTACCCGTCTGTTTTGTAATACTATGTTGAAAAGAAGAATAGAAACAAAGAAGAGACGGTTCTCTACTGATTTGTTTAATGCAATGACAGTATTGGTATGAGAAAGCAAATTCAGTGGTAAGAGTTTAAATCCTTATTCTTACTGTCATTATGTTTAATATTTTTTCCACTGAAGAAGTATAAAAATAAGCAATGACATCAATACAAACCTAGAAGCGACAGTTTGTTTCCTGCTACAAAAGACTTAAGAAATCAAATAAACTAGTACTGCACATTTTGTATCGCTTCGTGGTATCGTGTTCATTATTTTTTCCCAGAGGATTTTGATTAAAACTTTTCCGATTCATCTGCTGAAACCCTTTCTCTAAGGAGAAATTTGAAGGTTATCTTTACAGTGATTTCCCTAAAATGCAGCAGGCGCTTCCTGTGTCCCTCGTTCACTGGTTTCACTGTCACTTCAGATCAATACAAGCTGCTGCCAGAACCGGCCCAGCACAGCAGCCCGGTTTGCTGTGCAGCCAGATGAACGCTTATGCTGGCGCAAGGGGAAGAAGGTGTGAGCGGGACACAGTGCCTAGAGGATCTTAAAAATCTGCTGCTATAAATTCATGATATAGAAAAGGAAGAAGAGAACTTTGCTTGGGTTAAAAAAGCCCACCTTGACATTCTAATTGGGTCTTTGTAAAGTAGCCTCTGAATAACGATACTGATTTCTACCACAAGTAATAAATAAATAAAGAAATCTACATTTTTAGAAAATACAGCTCAGGAGTTAAAAAAGAGTTAAATATATAACAATAGCTGGGATGTGGATTTTAGGTCCTTTACTGTATATAGCAGAGGTAAAATTTGATGATTCACTTCAATTCTGTGTTTCCTTCTTCTTCTTTCTTCCTCTTTGGCCATCAGTTCAGTGGAGCTGATTTAGCCCAATGCTCAGTCCTGACTGGGAGGCCCGGCAGGGTAGGCACAGGGCAGTAACAGCAAAAAGCAGCCGTTCAGGTGATATCCCTTTTGCTGGTGATTTAACAGATCTTCAAAACTTGAAGACCAAGTGATCTTAAGTTTATTATTTAGAAATACTGTGAAGTAAAATACTAAGAGTATATAATTACTAAAACCGAATGTTATTCCTTGAGACAAAGCAGTGAAAGATTATGAAGACTTTCCGGAGTCGCTGAGACAGTGAAAGGCAGAAGTGCTGTGCAGAGCGTGTGTGTTGGTGGCACTGGGGTGCTTCGTTTCTCCCAGGTGGGAATAGTTTTCCCTTTGGAATGACTTTGTGTGTGTTTGAATTCAGCTAACTAGACAGTTTTCTTAGGCAACATTCTAAGACTTCTTTTATCTTGCTGGGTGTTATTTAGTGGATGGAGATGATAATTCTTAAAAACTACTACGAATCTTTTTATTTTAAGGATTAGGAGGTTTCCACCCTGTCAAGTAGAAGTAGTGTACTTTCATAAAACTGCATTTCCCATGGTGCACAAGGGCTCTCAGGCTGGGTCAGCTGATGTAGGTTGTGAAACCTCCTTATTTCCTGTCCAACATGCATGGAAATGACTGGTGTGTGCCAATGTCTCATCTTTCCTTCGTCAGGTGATTTAAAGGCTTTGGACCAGACTTCTGGTTTAGAGCAATGGCAAGAAACTGAGCTGATTAACTACCTCGGTATCTGGAAAACTGCTTTGGTTGGGGGAAGGAGATGTCGTGAAGAAGTAACGTACTGCAGCCTGCTCTGTTAACTTCATGGGAAAAGGTAGAGAGAATCTTGATCTTTACCTTTCGTACCAGACCTTTGTCTTTGCTTTTTTTTCCAGCTGCTGATTTTGCTGTACATTATTTAAGAGAGTCACCAGATTTCTTGATTAGTTGATGGTTATGTCCTAGCAGGTAATAAGTAGCTCTAAGTAATCGTCATTTTTGAAGCTTTCTTTTTTGTTTTATTCTTTTTGCTTGTTTGTTTTTAACAGAGGTTAAGAGGAAACTTTTAAAAGAAAACAGAGTTTTTCCAGACTGAAGCTGAGGACTTGACAAGAAAACACAAAATGTCTCCTGAATCAAAAAAACTTTTCAACATAATTATTTTGGGAGTCTCATTTATGTTTATATTCACTGCTTTCCAAACTTGTGGAAATATTGCGGTAGGTATGAATTTCAAAACCTGCCACATTTCTATCACAGTTATTCATCCTTTCTTCTCTTTCGTGTACTGTAATGTAAGAGTTGCTGTACTTGGGATTTTTTAACGTGCAGGACACCTTGACATTTTGTCTCCTTCCTTTTGGTTTAGTGTTAACTAGATTAAGTTGATTAACTGGATAATTAAGCAGTTTATTTCTTTAAGATAGCATAGCTACATATGTAAATGTGCCTGATTAATTTTCTACTTTCTAAGCAATGAATCGTATCAAATGTTTGAACTTTAAAATCTTGTCTGTTTTGACACTTGCAATATTTAACAATTGAATTACATTGGACCTTGCATATTTCTGATTATTCTATATAGTCCTTTTCAAAATATTTGCCTAGGTTGTTATTATTAACCATGCCCCTAGTTTTTCTTAGAGTGTTTTTCCTAATCTAGCTTTTTTTTTCTGTTCTAACAAACTAGACATTGAGGAGGAGTATGAGGATAACACCTGACAAGTAGTCAGACTTCCACAATTGCTAGAACTGCCAAGTCACCTTCCATCTGAATAAGTAATTTACTGCTTTAGTATTGTGTATCTCTGTGTGCTGAAGCAAAATTGGGCATAGCATAACCCAAATTTACTGTTAGAAGCAGATTGTACTTTTACTACTTAAATTTTTAGAATCCTGCTACTGACGTACTTAGCCCAGATCCTCTAACTTACTGAGTTGTTGGCATTGCTTTCAGTAATAGTTATATGACCGAAGGACAGTTAGATTTCAACATACCTCGTGAGCCTGCAGCTCGTACAGCTTCTCTTTTGTTGCACGCAAGAAGAATCCTTTCTGGGTTCAGACATATAAGTGTCCTTCGCTGCATTATAGAAATAACTACTTAGGATAGTTTTTGTAAAAGTCATACTGGCAGCGTGACACGGGTACCTAAGTACAGCCCAGTGGTCTTAGAAGTTCTGTAATGAATTCACAGCACCTCACTGAATTGGACCTAGTGATCATGCCATCATGTAATTTACTGTCATTAAAGTCATTACAAGTGACTTTCAATCAGATCTGCCCGCCAATCCAACTAATTACATGGTCTCATGATCACTAAAGCTGATTCAAGGGGGAAAAAAAGCAACAGGGAAATAACAGGAAACCAAAAAGAACGGAAACTCTTATCAGAAGCTCATAGTTAGGTCAAATTAAGAGTATTTTGAAACGTCTCCTTTTTTCCCCACTTTTGAAATTAAGATAGTCATACGTATCTGCCTAAGAGAGGTGTTTTGTGAAACAGAAGTTTTGTGAAGTATTTTAAGGTCTCTGATGAAATCATGATATCATCCTAAAGTACTAATTACTGCTTCAAACATAGATGTTTCCCTGACAAATATCTCCTTCACCTTCATTGTGGAGGTGTTGTGAGTTGTAATTAACATTTTAAATTATTTTAAGTGCTTCGTAGAGTCTATTAATGATTAATTAATTATTAATTCTAACGTTTAATACTGACTTCAAACTGATGCAAGTGTTCTCAAACTACAAGATATGTTCTAACATATTACAACATATGATTTTCTCCTCACAGCAAACTGTTATCACAAACTTAAACAACACGGATTTTCACGGC